TATTGTGTAATGCTTGCTTTCAAAGATAGAGAAAAGTTACAATTGGTGAGTAGTGCTTGCTTTCAAAGATCGAGAAATGTAACAATTGTTGAGTAGTGCTTGATTTCAGAGATGGAGACATGTAACAATTGTTGAGTAGTGCTTGATTTCAGTGATGAAAAAATGTAACAAGTGGTGAGTAGTGCTTGATTTCAGTGATGAAAAAATGTAACAAGTGGTGAGTAGCGTTTGATTTCAGATATGGAGAAATGTAACAAGTGGTGAGTAGCTTTTGATTTCAGATATGGAGAAATGTAACAAGTGGTGAGTAGTGCTTGATTTCAGAGATGAATAAATGTAACAAGTGGTGAGTAGCGTTTGATTTCAGATATGGAGAAATGTAACAAGTGGTGAGTAGCGTTTGATTTCAGAGATGGAGAAATGTAACAATTGGTGAGTAGTGCTTGATTTCAGAGATGAATAAATGTAACAAGTGGTGAGTAGCGTTTGATTTCAGATATGGAGAAATGTAACAATTGGTGAGTAGTGTTTTGATTTCAGATATGGAGAAATGTAACAATGGTGAGTAGCGTTTGATTTCAGAGATGGAGAAATGTAACAAGTGGTGAGTAGTGCTTGATTTCAGAGATGAAGAAATGTAACAATTGGTGAGTAGTGTTTGATTTCAGAGATGAAGAAATGTAACAATTGGTGAGTAGTGCTTGATTTCAGATATGGAGAAATGTAACAATAGTGTGTGAGTAGTGCTTGATTTCAGTTATGGAGAAATGTAACAATTGTTGAGTAGTGCTTGAGTAGTGTGTAACAAGTTGAAGTAGCGTTTGATTTCAAGATATGGAGAAATGTAAAAAATTGTAACAATTGTTGAGAGTGCTTTGAGCGTTTGATTTCAGTGATGATAAGAAATGTAACAAGCTGCTGGTGAGTAGCGTTTGATTTCAGAGATATGAAGAAATGTAACAATTTGGAGAATTGTGAACAAAATGTTAACAATTGGTGTTTGATGAGTAGCGTTTGATTTCAGAGATGATGAAGAAATGTACAATTGTCTGTGAGTAGCGTTTGATTTCAGAGATGAAAAATGAAATGTAACAAATGTAACAATTGAGAAAAACATGTTGAGTAGCGTTTGATTTCAGAGATGAAGGAGTAAATGTAAACAATTGGTTTCAGAGTGGAGTGCTTGATTTCAGAGATGAAAAATGTAACAAGTTTGAGTTTGATTTCAGATATGGAGGAAAGTAACAAGTGCGTTTATGCTTGATTTCAGAGATGAGAAATGTAACAATTGGTGAGTAGTGCTTGATTTCAGAGATGAATAAATGTAACAAGTGGTGAGTAGCGTTTGATTTCAGATATGGAGAAATGTAACAACTGTTTAGTAGTGCTTTCTTTCAGAGATTGATGAAATGTAACAATTATTGAGTAGTGCTTGATTTCAAAGATCGAGAAATGTAACAATTGTAGAGTAGTGTTTGATTTCAGAGATGAAGAAATGTAACAACTGTTAAGTAGTGCTTTCTTTCACAGATTGATGAAATGTAACAATTATTGAGTAGTGCTTGCTTTCAGAGATCGAGCAATGTAACAATTGGTAAGTAGTGCTTGCTTTCAGAGATTGATAAATGTAACAATTATTGAGTATTGTTTGATTTCAGAGATGGAGACATGTAACAATTGGTAAATAGTGTTGATGAAATATGAATATTGGTGAACAGTGAGTGCTTGATAAATGTAACAATTATTGAAAAGTGCTTTATTTCTCGAAATAACTAACTGTAACAAATGACAAGAAGGGATATCAGCATTGTGGAATAACACAGATTGAGATTCAGATGTCATAGATGACATCTTCTTATCAAGGCAAAGTCTACAAAATCTGTGTTACCTCGGTGTAATGCTATTCCTTATGAACTTATCCTGGTTTGCGTTCAAATAAACAATATTAAAGCATTTACATTGAGAAGTTGATAAAATACTGTCTGGCCAAACTGTAAAATACTTTTGTTTGACATTGCTCTATACTGGCAAACAGAGATCAGCTAATATAACTACATGTATCAGAAACAAGAGCCGGTTGAACCGGGTGATGCTCCCCGAATAGGTTTTGGACACAGGAAGGTATACCTCTTGTAGTGTCAGAGTTATGTCACAGACAAAGTTCAAAGTGTAAAAACAACCTAAATGTTGCACGCGACAAATTGTCTCAATATGGTGATCATTTCTGTGAAATAGTTGTAAAATCCGACTTCAAATAACAAAGTTATGGCCCGGACACAATTTTCCTGCAAGGTCATGCTATGACCTTGACCTTCAAGGTAGCCATCCAAATATTGCACACGAAACATCATCTCAATATAATGATCATTTCTGTGAAATAGTTTTAAAATACAACTTCAAATAATGAAGTTATGGACCAAACAAGATTTTGCTGCAAGGTCATGCCGTGACCTTGACCTTCAAGGTAGCGACCCAAATGTTACGCCCGACAATAAGTCTTAATATGGTGATCATTTCTGTGAAATAGTTGTAAAATCCGACTTCAAATAATGAAGTTATGGACCGGACACGATTTTGCTGCAAGGTCATGCTGTGACCTTGACCTTCAAGGTAGCAACCCAAATGTTGTGCATGACACGTCGTCTCAATATGTAGATTATTTCTGTATAATAGTTTTAAAATCCGACTTCAAATAATGAAGTTATGGACCGGAAACGATTTTGCTGCAAGGTCATGCTGTGACCTTGACCTTCAAGGTAGCGACCAAAATGTTGCGCGCGACACATTGTCTCAATATGGTGATCATTTCTGTTAAATAGTTTTAAAATCCGACTCCAAATAACAAAGTTATGGACCGGACACAATTTTACTGCAAGGTCATGTCGTAACCTTGACCTTCAAGGTAGCAACCCAAATGTTGCGCGCCACACGTCGTCTCAATATGGTGATTATTTCTGTGAAATAGTTTTAAAATCCAACTTCAAATAACAAAGTTATGGACCGGACACGATTTTACTGCAAGGTCATGCTGTGACCTTGACCTTCAAGGTAGCGACCGGAATGTTGCGCGCGACACGTCGTCTTAATATGGTGATCATTTCTGTGAAATAGTTTTAAAATCAGACTTCAAATATTGAAGTTATGGACCGGACACGATTTTGCTGCAAGGTCATGCTGTGACCTTGACCTTCAAGGTAGCGACCCAAATGTTGCGCGCCACACGTCGTCTCAATATGGTGATTATTTCTGTGAAATAATTTTAAAATCCGACTCCAAATAACAAAGTTATGGGCCGGACACGAATTCGGGACGTATGTACGGACGGACTGACGGACGGACAACCCGACGACTATATGCTCCCCCGAAATTTTTCGGGGAGCATAATAAGAAAACAAACATAATAACAGCAAAATGAAATTTACTTTTTCACAAATTTTGAAATTAATCATATGTTTTTCTTGTGCTCAAAACAAAATTGAAATTCCAAAACAACATTTTCATATGCAACCTTGTCCAAGAAAATTCATTCAAGATAAAAACTAATAGATTTAAAAAACAATGGTTTCAGGACTTATCTAAACCCATTGGTACTTGAGGTACTGTAACATTTTCTACACAAGCTGCAAGAGTTTGGAAAAACTCAACACATTTTGAAGAATTATCTTATGACTTCACATTTCACAAGTTCTCCTTTACTTGACTGGTTTGAAATTAACAACAATAAAAGTAGCACCAAAATCAACAGCAACTACATACCTGAACACCATAACAAACAACAAACTGATGCAACACTTAATGAGAAAACACTGACACTGCAATATTTCTAACAGTTTAATCACGAAAATCTAGAAAATAATCTGTTAGAGGGGGGTCCTGGCAACAGTAATTAAATACTCATAAAACTACTATGATAATATGGTGGAATGCTGCAGTCTATTGAAGTTGTTCACAACACTGTAAAAATGATGTACAACTTCCTCTATGATCCTCCATCAATACAACAGACTAGCTTGTAACACACTGTCTGCTTTAAAAAAATACAGTTCATCAAAATCAGGCTTTTTCCCTTGAACTTATGACTGTACATAATCAACCTTTCCCTGAACAGTTTACATTTGATTAAGTGAAATTAAATGAAGTAATAATAAAACCTTTCTCCCTATTTGTTGTAGGCCCACTTAAAATTTTTTAATGTTTTCTTTCCATCTACTTTGGTTGAGCTGTATATAGTGATGGTCATCCCCTACAGCATTCTGTTTACAGACTTACATTTAGGCTTTTCCTACAAACATATCTGTACATGGTCTGAACTTACAGTTATCTGTTCTGCCCTTTGTGATCAATTCAGTGATTTGCTTGGAATCTATATAAATTCTACCTTCCATGTACATAATTCTGTTGAAGCCTTCTGTACAATTCTGTTCAAAGAAGTTTGTAAGCATCTGTCTTTCTTCTGTTCATAAACTTACAAGAAGCTGTACAGAATGTGCCTCCCATGTATACACGTACCAAGATGCTGTATAGAATCTGCCTCCCCTGTATATAATTCTGTTCAAAGACTTACCAAGAACCTGCACAGAGTTTGCCTGAACAGTTACAAACCTACTCAGAATCAGTAAAGAATTCTGTTCACAAACTCATCAAAAATCAGTTAAGACTCTATCTTACCCAGAAGCTGTATAGAATCTGCCTTCCCTGTATACAATTCTGTTCACAGACTTACCCAGAAGCTGTATAGAATCTGCCTTCCCTTTAAACAATTCAGCTTACAGACTTACCCAGAAGCTGTATAGAATCTGCCTTCCCTGTATACAATTCTGTTCACAGACTTACCCAGAAGCTGTATAGAATCTGCCTTCCCTGTATACAATTCTGTTCACAGACTTACCCAGAAGCTGTATAGAATCTGCTTTTTCCTGTATACAATTCTGTTCACAGACTTACCCAGAAGCTGTTTAGAATCTTGCCTTTCCTGTAAACAATTCTGTTCACAGACTTACCCAGAAGCTGTATAGAATCTGCCTTCCCTGTATACAATTCTGTTAACAGACTCAGGATGTGCTTGTATTGCTGCCTCACATTCTCCTGATAATTTGTTCCAGAAATAAACATGACCATTCATGTCACCACTCAAGATTAAACTGCCCTTCATCTGAAATTAACAATTTATCATGTAAAAAATTGTTTCATATACTAAATACATGTAGTTCATTGACATCAGTACCTTGTTTGGTCTGCGGGGACTAAAGGCAGTTTGTAACAGTACTGAAGCCATAAAATGTGGCTTAGGTCAATTCTTTGGAAGACCACCATCCAACCGGTTGGATGTCTTCCATGACCATTTTTATTGAGTAACTTGAACACTTCAAATGATCTGACTGTTTTAGTAAGCAAGCACTGTTTTTACTTTTTGACCACAGGGTTTTGGAAATTGGTAATAAATAATATGGTGCCATTATGTGCCATATACAAGAGGGCAGCAACCTAACAAGTATCTTGGTTTCTATACTAATCCTGGCTTGTTATTCCTCAAGTAAATCTCCAGTTTCCTGCATGAATCTCTAGGAAAAAGAGTAAAGGACAAATGACATTAAAGGACATTGTGAAGCGAGCCAAATGATGATTGCAAACACTAGACATAAGACTGAATTTGTGAATCTGATTTGTATGCCTAACATTCTCTTGAGTGATCTTACATCATTATTGTGAATAAAGATGGTGAAACAACACAACATGTTTCACTAACACAATGTTTGTTTTCAATGCCATAAGTAACTCAACACTCAAGTTTTTACTTTTTTCTGACATTCACAAAAAGAAAAAACTTAAAATCTTTAAACTATCAATGTCTTTATACCACAAATGATGACAAGAGATTTTGACTTGAACAAGTGATTAGGCTATGAGATCAGAAATTTATTATTTAATCCCCCACTCTAACTTCAAATCTCAGCAGACAGGATTGGTTCAAGCTGTGCTGAAGACATTATTGTTTAATTTGACAATTTCACATAATAATTTATTATAACCCGTTCTTTTATTAATTTTTTGAATGCTAGTGATGACAGTGACATGTCTATGTGGAAAATATATTAGTCTAAGCAGCAATCATCTGAGAAGTTTGGTTTAAACATACTTATTTATGCACATACTTTGCGAAACAAGTTCATGCAACTTATATTTATCATTTTCTAGTCTGCTCTCAGGAACAAACCAGTGCTGTTATCAGTAATAAACATGGTTGTAACCCTATTAGTGCTCAAACCCATGATCCCTGGGTTGAGAAGCAGCCACTTTAACCACTGAGCCATAACTCCCCTTAAAATCTGATAAGTTGTAATATGACCAGACTCTGTACTGTTGGCTGCTTAATTTTGGATTTTTGACATTGAAAATTTGAAATCCCTTATAATTACAATGAACTATTCCAAATTCAATTTTAGCAAGACAAGTTCAATATACAAAAAACTGACTGTGTTAGGGGTTAGGGGCAATTTGACCCTTACCACAAAAATTATGTTTTAATGAACTTATCCATCTTTCAAACTGGTCATTTTTTAAGTGGCACCAACAAAGTATAGGTCATATGGCAACTTTCTAGCTTTACTAGTGGAGAAAGACCTCCAGAACAATTTCAAAATATATATACTATCTAAATAGGGAACAATGCAGACCATGATCATATGGCAAAGAAATGACATTTGATCTTAATCTGTACTGGTTTTGTGGATAGATTCAGTTGCCACAAACAGGCTAAAGGTTAAATGAGTTACACCTAAGAATTTTTGATCAATTTTGATATGTTTTAGGTGGTTTAGTGCAGTATATAATGTTACTATTGACTATAAATACCAGAAATGATGAAATAAACTTATATCTGATACTTTAAAGAGAAATTAGAGTTTTTTGTAAGTTGGCTCTCAGTTAGTAAAGCTGAGAGGTGGGAGTCCTATATCAAAGGGTAGTTAACTTCAGTCAGTACAACATTAAAGTGTTTTAAACAGTAAATTATGCTTCACAGTAAACAAAAACTGAACCGGTCTGACATTTTCACCTCATGTACCATACATAACTTTCCTCCTTGTTTCACTGTAAAATTGGAGTTTGATTTTGTTTGGTAAGTGGGAACACCTGTAAATCACAAATTGAGTTTACAGTCTTTAATCTATTAAACTATACATCAATCTATTATTTGATCCAATTATTGTTACAAGTATCTTTTTATGCTACTTTAATTACATATACTCTGTGAAGATTTTATTTTCTGTTGTGACTTTCACCGAAAAAAAAAACTTTTGGGAAAAAAACAAGCACACCTGGGCCAAAGTAACATCATAAAACTGTAATAATAATTTCATAATTGGACACCTTGATTGTTATGTTTTGATTTAGGGTTGAGTTTGTATAGGGATTTGAAAGAAGATGAAGTGTGTGGGAATTGAAATAAATCGTTAAAGTAATGACCCTATGCTTCATAGATCACTGCGATGCCTAATCGTTCCTACGTTATAACGTACCAATCTAAAGTCACGTTTTTATAAAACATTTTTTTTAATATCAACTTTAAAAGTCACAAAAAATATCGCTGAGAAACATATGGTACTAAAATTGGTTAAATTGAAAAATCAGCTATCATTAAATATTAATGACTGTGCATATAGCCAGACGAAATTATTTTTTGATGAATTTTATATTTCAAAGTACATCGGTCGTAAATGTTAAATGAAATTCATTTGAATTTAAACATTCAAAGGATAAAGGGGGGAACTTTATTGTCATTTTATTGCATTATTTTGTACAATCTGTTAATACTATGCACACATAAATAAATGAGAGTGAATTTCACTGAAGAAGAAATATTACCTGTAGATAAAGGAAGTAATTCTGCATTTTATATTCAATCAACATTCAATTTTGTATAATTTGTTGATGGGTCCAATTTATTTGATATCATTTTAATGTCTTCCTGGGAAAATTGTCTTCAAAAGAATGAGCATTGTCTCCCTTGATATTCAATATTTGAACCGTGTCATGACAAAACCAACATAATGGGTTTGCAACCAGCATGGATCCTGACCAGCCTGCGCATCCGTGCTGTGAGTGAGTCTGATCAGGATCCATGCTTACAAACCCTATAACAAGTAAAGAAACTGATAGCGAACAGCATGGATCCTGATCAGACTGCGCGGATGCGCAGGCTGGTCTGGATCCATGCTGGTGGCAAACCCATTATGTTGGTTTTGTCATGACACGGCTCATTTGTACTTGCAACATTAACTGTGAACTCGTGTTTGAAATGGGAGCATAATTCAATGAAAAAACACAGACATGGTATTAAAATATTTTATCTTGTTAAAAGTACACACTTTAAAATTAGATTTTCATAACTAATGCACAACATTTTAAAAGCTAGCAATGTAAAATATACCACAGAAAATTTGACCATTAAAATAGCACTTTTTGTTCTAAAGCTTAATATACCGGTAATGTTTGTTACTAAAAAGCTCAAGTTGGGCCCATTTTTAGTTATTGTATTTTGTTGTATTTTCTGATCGCAAGATCAGTAAATACATAGCTACCATCCACGGTCTAACACAAAATTTCCTAACAGACCTAACAACGCAAAGTAGTTCTAACTCAAGACTGCTTAAAAACCAGCAATTTAAAAGACAGAATAATTTTTAATGTAGGCATTTAACGAATTACAGTGCATTGAAAGTTCAGATTAGTCAATAGAAATATGAGGTTACAATCACTAATTTCGCGGATTAATATCATTTTAATCAATGAAAATGCTATTTTTAGCTATGTCGATTACTGAATACTCCAGGGCGTAGTACACAAATAAATCTGACTGCCGAGTAGTGGAATATATACATGTCGGACTGTTTTGGCGAGAAGATTTTCGTTAAATTATTTTTATCAGTGTTAAACAGGTTTATCGTGAACAAAATACCTCGAAATTGATAAGGATTACAAACACGAAATTGAAATTCTCAATTTAGAATTACAATGTATTTGTTTTTATTCAGGCTACATATTACGTATTACTTCACCGTGGTGCAGGGGTAACGCGCTCGTATCACGCTTGTTTAGGGTGTGAGAGGCCTAAGGTTCAAATCCTAGTCGAGGCAACTTTTTTTTTAAGTGTCTTTTTTAAGAAAGTAGCCACGATATGCAAGGATAAGTGTGGCTGTCATAAAAAATGATTTTTGATGCAACTCTAGTCATGCAAAATCCCATATGTATCAATCTCAAACTGTTATAGAAAGAAATCTTAACGCAGTCGCTGCGTAAGATGAATTATAGTATATAAAAACTAGAAATGTGTCCATAGGACACGGATGCCCCCACACGCCACTGTTCTGTCAATCTTATGACTCTAGGTCAAATATTTTTTGGACTACATGTGCCACAAGTTGAAAACTAAAAATCAACAAAGGGCTATAATTCTGTTAAATTTGGTCGCAGCAAAAATTCCTTCCTTTACTACCATCTACACATTAAGGTTGTTCATCCCTGGAAGTTTAAGCAAAATCTGCCATCCGGTTTAAGAGGAGTTGCGTTCACAAAATTTCTACATAGTATATAATGAAAAAATCAACAAAGGGCCATAATTCTTTAAATTTGGTTGCAGCAAAAATTCCTTCCTTTACTGCCATCTACACATTAAGGTTGTTCATCCCTGGAAGTTTAAGCAAAATCTGCCATCCGGTTTAAGAGGAGTTGCATTCACAAAATTTCTACATAGTATATAGTGAAAAAATCAACAAAGGGCCATAATTCTGTAAAATTTGGTCCCAGCGAAAATTCCTTCCTTTACTACCATCTAAACCTCAAGGTTATTCATCCCTGTAAGTTTAAGCAAATTCTGCCATCCAGTTTAAGAGGAGTTGCGTTCACAAAATTTCTACATAGTATATAGTGAAAAAATCAACAAAGGGCCATAATTCTGTTAAATTTGGTCGCAGCAAAAATTCCTTCCTTTACTACCATCTACATATTAAGGTTGTTCATCCCTGAAAGTTTAAGCAAAATCTGCCATCTGGTTTAAGAGGAGTTGCGTTCACAAAATTTCTACATAGTATATAGTGAAAAAATCAACAAAGGGCCATAATTCTGTTAAATTTGGTTGCAGCAAAAATTCCTTCCTTTACTGCCATCTACACATTAAGGTTGTTCATCCCTGGAAGTTTAAGCAAAATCTGCCATCAGGTTTAAGAGGAGTTGCATTCACAAAATTTCTACATAGTATATAGTGAAAAAATCAACAAAGGGCCATAATTCTGTAAAATTTGGTCCCAGCGAAAATTCCTTCCTTTACTACCATCTAAACCTTAAGGTTATTCATCCCTGTAAGTTTAAGCAAATTCTGCCATCCAGTTTAAGAGGAGTTGCGTTCACAAAATTTCTACATAGTATATAGTGAAAAAATCAACAAAGGGCCATAATTCTGTTAAATTTGGTCGCAGCAAAAATTCCTTCCTTTACTACCATCTACATATTAAGGTTGTTCATCCCTGAAAGTTTAAGCAAAATCTGCCATCCGGTTTAAGAGGAGTTGCGTTCACAAAATTTCTACATAGTATATAGTGAAAAAATCAACAAAGGGCCATAATTCTGTTAAATTTGGTTGCAGCAAAAATTCCTTCCTTTACTACCATCTACACATTAAGGTTGTTCATCCCTGGAAGTTTAAGCAAAATCTGCCATCCGGTTTAAGAGGAGTTGCATTCACAAAATTTCTACATAGTATATAGTGAAAAAATCAACAAAGGGCCATAATTCTGTAAAATTTGGTCCCAGCGAAAATTCCTTCCTTTACTACCATCTAAACCTTAAGGTTATTCATCCCTGTAAGTTTAAGCAAATTCTGCCATCCAGTTTAAGAGGAGTTGCGTTCACAAAATTTCTACATAGTATATAGTGAAAAAAATCAACAAAGGGCCATAATTCTGTTAAATTTGGTCGCAGCAAAAAATTCCTTCCTTTACTACCATCTACATATTAAGGTTGTTCATCCCTGAAAGTTTAAGCAAAATCTGCCATCTGGTTTAAGAGGAGTTGCGTTCACAAAATTTCTACATAGTATATAGTGAAAAAATCAACAAAGGGCCATAATTCTGTTAAATTTGGTCGCAGCAAAAATTCCTTCTTTTACTACCATCTACACATTAAGGTTGTTCATCCCTGGAAGTTTAAGCAAAATCTGCCATCCGGTTTAAGAGGAGTTGCGTTCACAAGATTTCGGGACGTACGGACAGACGGACGGATGGACGGACGGACAGACGTACGGCGTGACGGACACTCGGACGGACAAGTGCAACGCTATATGCTCCCACTCTGTGGGGGCATAATAAACTTATATAAGAAAATACATACAGATAGTCAGTATGATTTAGATTGCAGGGATCAGAAAATACCACAGAGCTTCCAGCCCTTTGATTTTCATAAAGGCAGCTACTGTACTTAATACAACACAAATTGATTATTCAGGTTAAGTACAAGTGAATAACAGCATTTCAATCATATACTGGGGGCAGTTACCTTACAAGTGCAACTGCACTCACTATTAGGTCTGACTGCACTAATATGCACACAAGCCTGGGTCTATACTGGCAGCAGAGGTTTATAATTAAATCCCCTGACATTTAAATAATCATATCAACTTACAGTTACAGTGACAATATCAGCATCAGCACCATTAAATGTCCGCACACATTCTCCTGATACTATATTACTCAGTCGCAGAGTTCTGAAAGTATAAATATATTTATAAATATATAATAAACTAGAAATATATCAAACACAGTACAACAATATACTTCATACCATTCTATTAAAAAATATCCATGCTGTTTTATTTTTGCATTATTGGCTTGCAGCCACGGCTGCAAGCCATTTGTTTTGGAAAAGTTGTTCCGGTTAGGTGGTTTCCTGCTTCCATTTGTTAGTGCATGATTGAACGGGAAACCAGCTGCAATCGTGCCAATCGCAACTTTTCGGCCCTTTCCGTCACTCTTCGGATTAATGATAATAGCCGAGGTAGTTCCGATTGCAATCGTGACAATTCGGGCGATTCCGTCATACTGCGGAATCAGACGAAGTAATATTACGGAAATCTAAGCTATTTTAGTTACTTCGGTAATCCCAGTTTGTTTATATAAATAGGATTTCTATTTTTACTTGATTCCGTTTCAATTCTTTTTCAAGACGCAAAAGTTAGTTTCTTTTATAATTGGTTTTTGTCTACAATAGAGAATGGTTACTGTAGTAGTAATCCGTCTCCAAAGGGCGGTCCTGCTTACCAAAAGATCGTGACCGAATCACGCAGAATATTAGTGCATGATCAAGTTATATTTAGATCTACTGACAGTGGTGAGGTAATCTAAAAATAGCCCATGCATATCATTAACCTTACCACGTGCTGATATCCTGTATTGTCGGTATATCTGTGATCATAGATATTTTAGGTGTAACATAGTTGATACATGCTTTTTAATTGGTACCACGTAACGAAGTCTTTTAGTGCATTTACTTGTCTCTAAAGCTGCTATATAAATGAAATTAGCAACTGCCAAAAGGAATGACACTCTAGGTCTCACACTTGTTTCCCTTCAGTATGATAGATTGATCTCCACGTGAGAGCCAATTTTAGTATTTTTACGATTGATCATTTTCTTTATTAGTTTTATACAATAGAGAATAGATTTCGAATCGTTTTTGACAAAAAAATATTCGTTTTTACAAAAAAAAGTTGCTACTGTTATCGTCATCATATGTATTGACATCATATGTTCCCGTTCAGTTATAATCAGTGGACTTCTGGTCCCTATTTGGTCCAAGTTTGCACGCATAACACTGGTGCTCAAACAAATGGGCACAGGTGCTCGTCCAGTCTTGGGCTTACCCTACCTATCCCTTTAAAAGTGAAACTTTTTTTTTTCGAGAAAAAAAACTAAATAAACCCTTTATGATATACAAATACCGTAATTCAAAAAAAATGTGATAATAAATTGAAACAAAAAAAAAACAATTTTAAAGGGAAGGGATGATGGCACAACTGAGCAAGCCTATCCTTTTAAAAGGAAACTTTATTCATATTTCTTTCATTAGAGGACAGGCAAACCTATGTAATCTCCTATGTAATCTAACCTCTGCATGTAACAACTGCCATTCTCTACCACAGTTATCCTTTGCCCTTTTATATTTGCATAACATATTATACCATGCTTTCTCATATTTGCCTAGGCATAACATTTTATCACATGCTATCTTATATTGACTTGAGCATAACACTATCATCTGATACTGGGCTTCACATCACATTTCATCCCATGTTTTCTCATATTTACTTGAACATAACAAATTATTGTCATTCTATGCACTGGCATACTGTTGCCTGGGCATAACAATTGCAATTTTGTTCTCTCATTGAAATGAGTATCAGAATAATTAATCTATTTGTGCTTATAAGTTAACATAAATGAGCCGCGCCATGACAAAACCAACATAATGGGTTGCGACCAGCATGGATCCAGACCAGCCTGCGCATCCGCGGAGACTCTGATCAGGATCCATGCTATTCGCTTACATACTCTATAACAAGTAGTGAAACTGATAGCGAACAGCATGGATCCTGATCAGACTGCGCGGATGCGCAGGCTGGTCTGGATCCATGCTGGTCGCAAACCAATTATGTTGGTTTTGTCGTGAAGCGGCTCAAATATTGATAAACTTATGCTCTTTCATGTTAACATGAGCATTTGGATGGCTTTCTCTTACTTTGCCCAAATCAAAACATGGATTCCTAACCCCTGCTATGTTTGAATGTCATTAAGAAATCACTTTTTGCTGCATGTGTAACAGTATGGCAAATATATGCTTTACCATTTATCTATGTGCATATACTAATGTATAAATCAATGTTATGCTCTCTCTTATGTCAACACTGGAAACAACAACAACAACAAACATCATCCTCTCTCACACATACTATTCTGTAATTGGCATTTACAAATTTTAAACCTTCTCATTTAATGAGTAAATTCACCAACAAATCTCAATTGCCTAATATACAATATTTTGCCATAAGAACTGATTTTAAATTAGTACTTTTTACCACCATATATACATGTGCCGTTCATACCAGATGCACACACTTCTTTTGACAATAAATTACAAATTGTCAGTGAAATGATAAGGTGGTGCCTTATATAATACATCATCATCTTTTAAGTGAAATGTGTGTACAACAATAAATGTAAATATGTTATACTTTATCATAATCATGCAAAAATGCACATAACATTCTAAACACTGTTGGTATTTAATCATATCCTAAATAATTGAAATGAATTGTCATTCAAATTGAACATGTGGACTTATTCATCATTGTTTTATAAGTACACTACTCTACAAAAGTTTCTTTACCATTTGTATTATTATCACTGATTATTTCACTAGTCTCTCAAAAAATGAAAGGAAGTTGTGTGGAGAAGTGCAAAAGTGTTTGTGGAGATGTGGAGAATATAAAAGACATTTATATTTCATATAGAAAACATCCCATTTAGACAAGTCCAGTAAAATAAAACAGACATAATGGGAGCAGTGGAAATGTTCAGAAAAATAATTACTTCATGACAAAACTTTTTTTATCTGAATTCTGTATCAAATCTCAAGATTTTCATATGTCAGTGTACATTTTGTGGCAGTTTCTGACCAATTAAATTCCTGAAATCTGAGTTTGAGCCTTCTTTATACATGGACATTTTTAATTAAGGAATAAGGGCTGACAGACAATGTCTTAGTGCAAGAAAATTGGCCATGGAAAGCTTGCTTGATTCAATTAAGGCCTTTATAGTATCTTATATAATTAAAGCCTTACTATGTGATGTTTAGTAAATCAATCTTTCCAGTATAAGGATCTCAATGAAAAAAAAAAGCTACAATGAGATCATGGAAGAATAGATAATATAAATTAAGGAATTATAGCCTTTCTTATGGTACACAGGACAAATTTACAAAATAAGAACTTTCTGAAAGAAGCATATAAGTATCATGTGTACAATTTTGGTACAGTATAGTTTTGAAATGAAAAGGGTAGGTCAGTAAGTTCATTTGATTTTCAAACTATTTATATGAAAAATTAAATAATACTGTGCTATTGTCCTCGTAAATATTACTTAATTAGAGACAACTGACACGTTTATAATCAATCATTCATTTTCATATAAACGTTCAAATATATGAACTATATATGCAAGTTAGACTACTGTATAAAGAGAGTGATGTTTCAAATAAAAGATTTAATGACTGTCACATCAACTTGCAAGATTGACTCATCAGTGGTATAAAAGACACAATTTCAGCACTATAGACTGATTCTGTACTATATACTGAAGCCCACAAAGTCCACGAGATTTCATGAATTTAAATCTTAAGGATTCCCATGTGATAACTATCTTTGTAAAAGGTTTAAGTAACCTACTATTTTACTGTACATTTTTCCTTTCTTACAAAAAAAATGCAAATGCATCACAAAAAATTCAGCTATGAGTGGGATTCGAACTTGCTACCATCCATATACAAAAGTTACTAACAACTCTTTAGACCATTGAGTCAAAAGATTGATTCTGTCACAAAGTCACATATAGTAATGAAGGTAGGTGTGCACATGAATGTAAGACAACCCTTCTTTCAGAAAGTCAACATCTATGATGACAGAGTGACTAATTTTCAAGTCAGAAATCATTCAGGTTATAAATCAGAAACTATTTCACATTGATTTTAAAACAAATTTCAGGGGCCAAGTATCCTGAACCAGCCCTAATCTTGCGAACATTTTTGTTTGTAAGATAACAATGCAAATGCATCAGAAAAGACACAGCATTACACTTATTTTTTACATGATATAAATAAAGAAAGAACAAGAGCTGTCGGTAGGACTGCATGCTCGACTATTCTTACCCTGGTAAAAATGAGCATTATCAACCATGGTAAATCATGGTTATATTGGTCATGGTTAACAATACCCAACCATGGGTGCTTGATAGTTGAACAAGGGCCTGATAATGTAGAATTTTTTTTTGATAATGTAGAAATTTTTTTAAAGTTCAAAAAGGGCCATAATTCTGTCAAAACCCATGTAAGAGTTATGGGTTAAGACAATGACCTATTAGGCTCTCAAATAAGTGAGTGAAGTTTTAACCCATTCCCTTCAGCAGTTTTAGAGAAAAACCAACTTGCATGCAAAAACTGAAGCAAAGTGTGACAGCAACGCCTTGGTGAGTACAATAGATCTCCCTATTCTTGGAATAGTCAACATCTTAAACAGAAAAATCATCATTTTGTATTTACAAGATACATTTATTCTAAAAGATTAAATACTGTCACACACCTATTTGCTGGAAAAGCCACCCCTTAATATCCTACTGTTACTATAAATAAACTATAAAGTTTAATTTAGATACATCCGGAAAGATGACTTACTCTTGATAAAAATGAATCAAGTTTTAAAAAAACCATGAGTAATAAACAGTTAAATAATAATATTTATTGTATATATATTATTCAAACAAACATTACCCCTTTGATGTCATACTTTACTAATATTTCTAATTTGTAAACCTATTGATAAATTTTGGGATGGGGTAAATAATTTCAGCCAAACCTTTTTGTACCTTTTGTCATAATTAAGGTATTACAAAAACCTATTCACCATAGTCAAAGGCAAACTTAGTTCTTGATAACATC